GACAGCTATGGTGTTACAAAGTGAGGACAGCTACGAAGGGTTAAGCTAGGCGTCATCTGCTCAGAACGTAATTGTCTATGATATAATTTGGTTACAAACTGAACTTCTGTGCAATTGTCGGAACTGTGCTGCTGCTTAAGCTAGCGAACTACGCTATATTCTTTATGTTTTTTGCTATTTAGGGAAAAGTATCTCCCATGAATACGGGAACAGATACGAAGCAATCGTCGGCCAAAAAAGCCAAAACTAAAGGCAGGTAAATATCCAGGAGAAAAAATGGACTACAGAAGTACCATAAAGGCCGTTTTTTTGTATCACCTGTTTGTTCCACGATTTGTACAAAGTTAGAAATAAATTTCAAACAAAACTACAGATTGAGTACTTTGTAGAAATCCATCTAGACTATAACATCCGAACGGACTCTAAAGAGAGGCCTTATTCAGAATAAGTGTGTAAAGTTTGCACTTATTTAGCAGCGACGCAGTGAACAAATTTTGATCGATTTCGAATGACGGCTGATCGGATGACCAAGTGAAATTCGTTCCAAAGTAGGCGGAATTTCTAGAAAACAGCGGGTTTTGATACATGAAATGCCTTTGCTTCTAGAAACATTTCAAATCGATCATCCAGTAGAGAATTGTTTGAGCTACATTTTGAAAAAAGCGTCAATCTTGTGTTCAAAATTTCGGATTTTAAATCAAATTTTCGGCTTTCTTTGACATTGGAATAGCGAGCTTCAGGAAGCAGATAGAGCTTTTTCAAACACGTCATTTTCGATAGAGCTCAAAAACCACCAAACGGAAGGGTTTGCTCAACTTTGCCTAGAAATTCTGCAAGATCTTTAGAAGCTCTCTATAATACCTTCAAAAATCAAATTTTTTTGCAATCGTTTTCAGATAGCTCATCGAATTGTCGGTAACATAAAACGTTCTGCAGCTCTCCAGGATCTGAATTCGCTAAGTCACAGAGTTTTACTAAACTGCCAGCTGAAAAAGCGGTTTCGATGGTTGAACAATCCTTGTATTGTGTTTTCTAGAAATTCCGCCTACTTTGGAACGAATTTGACTTGGTCATCGGAACAACTGCCATTCGAAATTCATCAAAATTTGTTCACTGCGTCGCTGCTAAATAAGTGCAAACTTTACACACTTATTCTAAATAAGGCCTCTCTTTAGAGTCCGTTCGGATGTTATAGTCTAGATGGATTTCTACAAAGTACTCAATCTGTAGTTTTGTTTCGAAAAACGTATTGAGCCTTTATTGCCCGATTCTAGCTGATGGGGTCCAGTCGTTATAATGCATCGGCACTGTATCGTTGCCCGCTCGATTTTTAGCGGAAACTTGGCTAAACCACGGCACCGTAGCGATGCCATACAACGGTAGGAAATCGTACAATAAACTGAACAAGATAATAGCGTCAGTGGTCCTTGTTGCGAATAAACGAACGTTGACTTCTAAGGTTGTATAAATTGTGATGCTGTAGAAAGCTGTCCTTCTGATACTAGTGAGCATTACTTGTTTTAAAAGTGTTGTTAACTTTTTGTGCTTATACTCATAGCTTTAAATTTTCCCGTCCAACATGGTTAACAAACAAAGTTCTGATTATTGCTGGAATCATACTGGGGGCAGTGATTATTGCAGTTATTATTATTCCAATTGCGGTTACATTTGGTACAAGTAAGTAGTGTCGGTTCAATTTAGAATAAGTTTACATTATTTCGTATATCACTAATTTTTTAAAGGAACTTCGGGGACTGCAACTACGACAACAGTCACTGCACCAGTGTTTCTTGCTTATTGGGCATTTGAAAACAATGCCAATGACGTATACGGTAATTATAGCGGATCAATTACCGGTTCATCTACTTATCAAGGTTCAGGAATTTTTGGGGGTACTCCCTACTATATATATGGTTCAAGCGGTTACATGCAAGTTGCTTCACCTTATTTCAATTTAAATTCGAGAAGTTTTACATTTGAAATATGGATTTATCCTCTGAGCATAACAAATGACCAGCCTATATTTAGCCAATGTACATGTACAACATGTACAAGCCAATGTCTGTTTTTGATGATTCGAAGTGGTAAATTGTATATGGGTTTTAATTTTAATGATTTAACTGGTTCCACAACTTTGTCTGCAAGCGGCATATGGTATCATGTCGCCTTTGTGTACAATTATCTAACATCTCAACAAATTATCTACCTGGATGGTATTCAAGATGCCGTTCGTTCAAGTGTAACGACACCCTATCTTGGAACAAATGGAACAATGTATTTTGGTTATTCACAAATTTCGTCATCAAACTATTTCTATGGTTACATGGATAATGCACAATTAACGACGCGTGCTAAGACTTCAACAGAAATATTAGTGGATGGGTCACAGATATTCTATTATTCATTTGATCAACCAAATCCATACTACGACAATAGTCCAAATGGTTTGAATGCTACTACCACACAAAATGTAATATCTACATCTGGACACGTGGGACAGGCTGTTCGTTTCACAACGACTTCTTCGAGTTATATTCAACTCAGTTATTGGCCTTATACAGGCTGGCCTACTTCTAGATCATTTTCGTTCGCCATGTGGATATACCCAACATCTATAAACTACGGTGTTCTCATATATACCCCAAATAATGGACTAACTTTACTTGGCTTAACGTATAACGGACAAATTATTCTACAACTTAATCAAGGATCTCCTTCAAATGTTTGGCTATGTGTGATTGGACCATTTATATTAGTTAATACGTGGACACATGTAGCATGTACATTTAGCGTAACAAACGGTCTAATATTGTATGTCAATGGTGTATCAGTAGGCTCGATAACTGGTATTCTAACATATTACTGGACCAGTGGTCTCTACAGTATTTACATTGGATATGGTGGTGGTCAGGCATATATATATTATGGAGGCTCATTTCAAGGTTCAATGGATGAATTCTATGCATATAGACGCGAGCTAAGTGCCTCAGAAATATTAGCGTTAGCTAGTGTATGAATGATTACAAATGTACATGCAAGACTTTCAACATTCATTTTGGTTGCATCCTAATCTCTAGGTATGCACCGGTATCGGTATACCGAATACCGAAACCGAAAATACCGACTTTTTTTGACTTGGAATTTTTTGGATTTTTTCATTTGAAATGAGGTATTTTAGCATACTGGACAAGCAGAACGTATAAACAACACTCAGCTGTGTATTTTGAGCATGTGCAGATAGAAAGAAAAGAAAAACTTTGGCTTTAGAAAACAAACACAGCTCTTGTTTTCCATCGCTGATTCATTCTGGGTGTCCAGGACGCTAAGACATCTCATTTCAAATGAAAAATTCCCAAAAATTCCAAGTGGAAAAAGTCGGTATTTTCGATATCGGTATATACCGAAGTTCGATATTTTCGGTATCGGTATTTCGGTATGAATACCGATATCGGTGCATACCTACTAATCTCTATAAAATGATTGAAGTTACATGTTAACAAGATAATTAGTGGTCTAAAATGTTCTGTGGCGTCCCTCATTTGTACAATCCTGCATACAGCGAATCCTGATGAATTTACGTTTGAAATTTATAAGAAGACGAAAAATAGGTCACACAATTCTCAATACATCCTTAGTCTAAGTCGTTGATGGAAGAACTCATTTCGATAAAATTTCAATAATTTGTATTTACAAAATGATGAAACAGACAGATGTTTCAAAACTATAGGTAAAATACCGATGATGCTTTTTTTGACTTTTTACCGTGTAGTTTCTTTCAAAATCTCCTTACTTGATTGAAATTACATTGCACCATAAACTGAGGAAAACTAAGTTTGTATGAGGTCTGAAGGTTCGGCTCTTACAAAAGTAGATAAATTTTTCTTACGTTTGGAATTTTTGAGTATGAATGAGCTAGTTACTATTGTCTGTCAAAAAAAGAATGGTATATGTCTGTTTTTTTAATAATTTTTTGATAGAAAAGAGCTAGAGAGCTAGAGCTAATAGTAATTTATGTTTTTGTTGCTGATAATGTGATTTAATTCTATTCATCACTTCCTACTCAGTTTTTAAATTTCGTGACTTTACTTTTTTCATAGATAGGCGATCGTATATTTGTGTGAATATCTGTATGATTTGCTTTGAATGCGAAGGATCTTACATCATATCAAAAAAAAGTTATTTTTTGAATGTATATTATAATGTTCTTGATTCTGTTTTTATTATCAACAGGTAAAGCTAACATTAATCGAAAATCAAACGAAGTAGTGCGTAAATTAACAATCTTTTTTTAAAGTAAATAAATTGGATACTGTCGATTGATTTTGTAATTTTTCATCAGTTCTATAACAAATTTTATGATGTGAAGATGCATATACTACGAGATTACATATAAAGTCACGACTACAGCTAACAAACAAATGTTTGGATAATGAAAATTCTTTATTGATTTTGTTATTGATGTTGGTTGGTAAAAAGTCAGTTAACCATGTTAAAATATTTGTTGACATTTTTCGGATGAAATGAATGTACAAGATCGTGAAAATTAATTTAAATGTTTTTCAAAGTGATTAAAACATGGTGGATCACATTTGTCAACATCGTTTCTATTTATAAGTACAACATAGTAGAAGCCGTCATTGATTATAAGATGGATGATACAAAGTACTTAAAGCAATAGGACAATATAATTTTCGTTTAGAAACAAAAAGATTTTGATTAAATAAATCATATAAATTCTCATATGAATGTCACATTATTAATGTCACACCCGTTTTATCGTATAATATCTATTAAAACACGATAACTATATGTTCAGTACAGGTATTTTTCATTGCAAAATCATCAGGCACTTGACTATGAACTGATGTCCGCACATTTTGATTTGAATCACGAATTATTGAGACTAGACATTTTTTACCTTAGTTTATAGTTTGTCTGACATGTGTTGTGTGACGCTGCAACAATTTCAACACGTAATCATTCTTTGTCAACGGCTGAATTTGAACTAACCGTGAAGTTTTCCATATACAGTGAGTGTCCTCAGTAAGTTTCATATTCGAGAGTTCTTCATGAACTCTATCGTCCTCTCATGATTTTTCATGATGCCAATTCAATATCGGTAATGTGCACATTAATAAGTGATTCACAAGCAGAAACATCATCAACAAATTTATTACTGATGATACTATTATAATTCAAAGAGACCGTTGGAGTAATAATAATATTGGAAATTAGAAATTGGTCCGCTTCGTCGATTTACACTACATATGTATAATCATCATCGTAATGTAATGCCTCGTACAATTAATTTGGAAGGCAGTCATTCACCAACGAAACACCATGTAAGTTCACCATTCCTGATATTTATGTTTTTATTGATTTACTACAGAAAGAACAATTGTTAGCTCGTTAGCAAGATTACGGGACGATACAGCTCCAAAACATCGAAAAAATCAGATAATAACAGATGAATGTTTAGTAAAATTATGGCAACGTCATGACGATGGACGTATTGATATTCCAAATTTTTAAAGAGCTCATGGTATGAGATACTTTCAATGTCCTTCCGAAAGTTGATTTTGGTGTATGTCGGCTAATAAGTTACTTGTATATTTTTCCATGTCAATAGAAAGTACCCACGTTAAAGAAAAACGGCCTGTTAACGTCTAGTACGGTCACACAAAAAAACGGCGCGTTAACGTTCTTAAAATGGCAAAAAAACGGCCAGTAAGCAAGCTGTTAACTTGCCGTTTTTTAAAAATCGTTTGAAAATGTCCAGGGTTAGAAAATGGACAGTTAATGGTCACCGTTTGCTCAACGTTTCCAGACCATTTATTATTTACAAAGAAATTCGCCATTAACTGGCCACTAACGGACCGTTTTTCTGTACTTTAAGCTAGAGGAATTTTCGACTGATTTTTGAATGTTTCATGACACAGAGTACTTCGGGGTAATTAGAGACACTCTTTGAAATTTTCGTTCTCTTTTTGCTGTTTCCTGGCCGTTTTTGATCGGAGAAACTTGCCATTTTGAACACGGTGGTAGACTGAACGTTTTTCTACAAGCTCTAGTAAAAATTACACGAGCGTCTCTATTTACCTCAAATTATACTAAAAAGGAAAACAAGAATTTCTAGTTCTGTTGATTATATGCTAATTAGCTTAATGAGTTTAAATGATAATGCCCTCAAAGCTTTATGGTAAAAAGAGGAAGGTCCCGGCTATCAAATGAGGTATTTTTGAACTAATTATCTCTTAAGCTTAATTAACCAGCAATTGTACATTAAAACTTCATGTATTTCAATGGAGTGTCTCTATTTACCCCAAGCGTACAAGTGAAGTGTTACACACTTTAATAGAGCTCTTCGCATTGTGGATCTGGCGTTGGACATTTTCAAAAGATTTTTACGTGAGCGTGTATGTGAAAAAATGTTCGATCTACCACCCTGTTCAATAGCAAGTTTTTCCGATCAAAAACGGGCAAGAAATAGCAAAAAAGGAACGGAAATTTCAAGAGTATCTCTAATTACCCCGAAGTACTCTATACCCTAGCCATCGATCCTTATAAAGGAATCAGACAAGAATCTTACTGAAAACTTATATGGATTCTATAAGATCCAAGTAAGAATTTGATTACGAGAGAGGAAAGTTGTAGAACTGTTTAAACTCATTGGAAGACTCTTCCTTTTTGAATTATTTAAAATTCATTACAGTGACGTTTCGCTGTAGAATACAGCTTCTTCAGACTTTACAGAACAATTGGACTAACTACAAAAACAATATTTTACACACACTATATAGAGATAACAGAGGAGGAAGCAAAACAAACGTTTCTTTTGTACAGTTCTTTTTCCTTCTTCAACTTTTTAATAGTGATACGGAACAAGGCGGTATAGTGACAGACTGAATGAAATGAATCTTTCCGTATCACTATTACAGCAGCAGATCGTCTATTGAATTATGAATCAAGCCATAGTAAATCAATAAAATCTAATATAGCTAAAAATATGACAACAAGAATTTTACAGACAACAAAAGATGGTAGTGAGCAAAAAGAGGATCTGGAAATATTGAAGCAGATGCTATTGAATTCGAAATAGCCTGTAAAACAAGTGGAAAAATTAGCTCAAGAGGCCTGTCAGTCTGGCAATGGTAATAGCAACTCATTGAAGAAAACAGATGATTTTAAATTTAGTTTAAATCTTCCATAACTATTGTCGGTAAAAATAAAGAATGGACTCGGATGTTTTTTGAATAACGTTTGACAGAAAAGTGGCAGATGCTTGCGGTCTTCACTAATCGAAAGCTAAGACCTAAATGCAGCTTTTCACAATGAAAGTCATTTTCAAGATCTTTTCCTGAAGCAGGTTTTTCAGAAGATCTTTGGAAAACCAGGTCGTTACTCAAAAACTTGAAATACAAATGATTTGATATTTTTCATGAATAGATAGGCCAAAGTGTCCTCTTCAAAATGAGAGTCAAGCGAGACTCTCATCTTCGATCGCTTAGGCCTGGCATTGAATTTCCTGAGAGTCTCAAAACTGATCTTTTCTCACACGTGAGAGCCTCACAAATGACTCTAGACAGGGGTTATCGACCACGCTAAGTCTCGTGGCAGTCTCTGTTTAATGATTTAAAAACGTTTTTACATATGAACTATCAGAACCTGTACTCAACCTAAGCTGTTCTAACTACTGTACTACCGTATAACTACTTACTTTATTTCACATAAGTTTTGATAAGTTTAACGCGTTTTTCTTGTTGATGATTTCAACATACGTGTACGTCTCGCGTCTCTTCTTTATTTAATCGGATTTTCTTTGAATTTCATTCATACTACATTCCTTCTTTTTCTTTCTGACATGATTCTCGTCCTTTTTTACAGTTTGTATCATTTTTTAGAATAAATGTCTATATAATGATAAGAACAAATAATGAAGAACACTGATTCCATGTATATTTGCTCAAGAAAGTGAAAATGTTTTTGCGTTCCCGATGTTCCTGCACTCAGCGTCC